CAACAGATGGCCAAAGATGATCAAGACAAGAAACAGTGTCAGGGGAAAAAAATTAAAAAAACATATACAGGTCACTATCTGGAAAACATGGTCTGAAGATGCAGCCAAAAACATTATTATCTTAAGACCTAAGAAACTCTTAAAATGGTACCCTATAACCTTTTCAAAATCACAAAACACTTTATAAAAATCATAATGGCATGCCTAATAAAGTCTCTCTGTTAAATAATGAGCATCTAAGAATCTTTATTCCACAAAGCCTCAAAATAGACAAAGGTTCATCTTAAAGAGATCTGTGGGTATAATTTTGCCTAATGGAGTAGATACATTCATCCATCACTTTATATATGTATGCTTTCTTAAAGTAAAAAAATCAATACAAACAACCATTAGACTTTGGAACCCCAGCTTTTTACTTTTAGGAAGCAAACGAGGGTATTCAATTGCAACACAAACTCCTTTCATTTAATTATTATTGTTTAATTGTAAACACAAACTACTTTTCACTTGGAAAGAAAGAATGCCTTCCAAGACAAAACTGAGAGTCCAAAGGATGGGGGCAAATGCCAAGAAAACAACTCCCAGGGAGCAGTGCTGAGCCAGTATTAAGGAATCAGTAACATGTGGCCAGTTGGATTTCAGAACTTCAGTGGACCAATGACTACTTTATCTTCCCATTTTCTCCATTCATAAATAGAGAGAGCTATTTCAATAATTATATTCCAGTCTCACTGTTCTCTGATGGACTAGAGTGATGGGGTGGAAAGGAACATAGAGAAAAATAACTTGTTGATTTAGGTAATGGGTCACCAGGGTGAGATAAACCACATCTCAAAATCAAACCCAAGTCATTCTCACCTGCACCTGAACCTAAACTGGCTGAAAAGAGATCACAGATCTCAAGCTTTAGCTTGATGTTATTAATGGAATCAGACCCACTGGCAAGTATGAGTTGTATATGGGATACAAGTGATTTGTGAGCAGGGAACAGGCTGTTAATTTTACAACAGGTCTGCAAATTCTTTGATACTCCTCTCATCAAGAGCTGGGGTCTATTTTCTCTTCTGATGAGCCAATACTATGCTTAGTGATTCACTTCTAATCAACAGAATATAGTAGAAACAATGCTATGTGACTTCCTAAATTTAAGTCAAAACAGGACACATAGCTTCCACCTCGTTCTTCTGGGGCACTTCCTTTAGTAATCTGAATGAGTTTAAGAAATCCAACTCTCCTGAGGCTACCATACTTTGAGCAGGCCCAGGTCACATGAAGAGGCCACATGTAAATGTTGGAGCCAGCAGCCTCAGCTAACATCCCAAAGACTAACAGCCAGAGAAAGGGAGTTCCAAATGATTCTGGCCACAGCTGTCAGGTTGCTATCAACCATCATGTCTCCCAAACTGAACTGAGACCCAGAAATCACTAAGCAGAGACAAGTTGCTCCCACTATGCCCTTCAAATTCCTGACCCACAGAAATTTTTCAGCATAACACAATATATGTCTCACACATTTTGGAACAGTTTGTTATGGCATTATGGTAAGCATAACAATATTGTAAAGGAAGAACTCATACTTCCAATTTTCAAACAAGAAAACCAGGACAAAGAGATGATGTTAAGTAATTGACCAAAGTCATAGAGAAGCAAAACAAATTATGAAACAGACCTATGTGATTCCAAAATTCAGGTTTATAACCATAATGCTACACTATTTTCCACAGGGATATCCTTACCTCTATATCTTTTCTTATTAACATCTGCCCTACCATGGATTATATGTATGCATTATCTGATTCTCTAAGACCAAATCACCATTTTGGACCTAATTAACTTCTTTCTCCTCCATGAAGCCCAATCCCTGGACTCTAACTCTTAGCAATTTCTTCCTCTAGTTTTACTTATTTTCTACAACTTCCAATTGACATTTAATGAATACTGATGACACTAATTCAAAATTAGTGAATCAGATGCTTTTCCTCTGTACATTCCCTGGCTGCCCTCCTGAGTTATGGTCCTAGACTAGATTCTGAAAATTCAGATTTCTACAGGATGAGGTAGGTAATAAATAACAGTAAAGTGGAAACCAGACACAAAAGAATATAAGTGGTCTGGATTAAGTTACACTAAGATGCAAATGCCATGTGTAAATGATATTGATTTTCTTCATAGCCTATATCACCACCTGATATTTATTTGTTTATTGCCTCTCTCTTCTCAGTAGAATATAAGCTTCTTGAGGACAGGAATTTCTGCTTTGTTTGCTGTTGTATCATGAGAGCCTAGAACAATACCTGAGACTCTGTCAATAAATTTCTTTTGAAGGAACAAGTGAATGAAAAAACATTGCCAAATGGAAATGTGGGCCCAGTGTTATAAAAACTATTGATAAATAGTTCTCTGTGAAATCTCTCAATTTCTAGGTGTTGACAACTAATTAGGAACATTATAAGTCATTTTAGGGTTGGGCAAACAAAACTTGTCTGCATTCAACATGAAGGTTGCATTTGCAATCTCTGTACTAGAGGGATCTTAGAATTTTATGGTTCTAATTATTTAAAATAGTGTTTTGCAAAGTTTAGGTAGTTTGATAAGTAATGATGGCGATGATAATGCTTCGAAGATTCACATTTAGGGCACTGCCACAACTCTGCTCTGCATTATTAATATGCTACCAATGTTCTTTTCTCAAGGCTCAAAGAAAATTGGTTCACCTTCTGGTCTGAAATGAACACCTGGACTTCACACGACCATCCCATATCCAAGATTTTAAAGCTCAACTTCCTCACTTTTGCTGTCAAGGGTTGAAAAATGTCATTCCCATGTGCTCCCAGTAATGAAGGGGAAAGGCAGTGAAAAGAAAATAGATTGAATTTCAAAGGGGTGACAGAAAAAGAGAGTCAAGTTTCAAACTGTATTTTCACAGTTGATAAACAAGAGCTCCCAATGGCAATTTTGTTTTCTTCTTTACTGATTTTAGTATTTTTAGATTATATAATCTAAAATCTTATTTCAGTTGACCTTTTGATGTTTTCCGGTAGTATGTTTTATCTTTTCTACACACAAATTATTAAGCAGAAAATTTTAAATGTTTACTAATTGCTTAGAGATTCTCAACTCCAAAGAGAAGTCACATCTAAATAATTAGAGTGTGTCTGGTTTTAAAAATGGGTCACTTAGCAACAAGCATAACTGTGTAGGGCTGATGGCACTTTTAAGATACTTTAAAGGAAATATACTAGAAAAAGCATTTCCAGTATACCTCATGCTAGCTGACCCACAGCAAGTCAATCATCAACTTTTGAACACGCAAAAGGAAATGAGGTGTCTTCATGTTCCTTTTCTGTTTTTATGGTTCAATGAGTACATCTTTGAAATGGCCATAGATGACATCAACAAACATCAGAGGAATTCAACATTCCAATGATTATAAGCCCACAAGGGTAAAACGCCTCCCAGCCGCCCTCTATAGTCTGTATTTAGGATATTATTTTAATGATTATACAGATGAATTCACTCTATGTAGTTCTTCAATAATGGCATTAATTTTTTATGAAGCAGATTTTATTTTTTTAAACAGGTTCCACTGTGATTTAAATTAAAAGTAACAGTGAGAAAAATTTCTTTATCCAAAACTATTTTTCAAAATTGAGGTTACTGTAGAGCTATGAACTTTCTACAGATCAAAAATATAGATTTCTATTCTCCTATTCTGTTATGTTCAAGCAACATTGAACATGATGGCTGTGGGATAGGAGAATCACAAGCTAAGCTCTCTTATAGACATGCAGGCGAAATGGTGAAACAGAGTTCCTAGGGCACAGGAGGGACAGCACAAAATTAGAGATCAAACCAACAGATTTGGCTTATGACTCTATCACTTTCTAATTTTTTTGACCCTGGGCAAGTTACTTAATCTCTTTAAACTTTAATTTACTCATTTGGAAAAAAGAAAATCGTAATAGCTTGCTTTATGGTTCATAAGAAAATAAAACACATGCATATTTATTGTGTAAACCACTGAAATGAGAAAGCAATTGTTAATCTGGCACAGCCTGGTCCAGCAAAACACACTGTAATAGTATGTGAAAAGTGCCCGGAACACCATGGTATCACAAATGATAATGATCAAAGAAAATCCAATCGATCCTGATCATAAATTTATGGCAGACAATGCTCCCTGTATCTCATCCTTCCTAAGAAAATAAAATGAAATAAAAATAAGCCGTAGGGGCTGAGGTTGTGGCTCAGCAGTAGAGAGCTTGCCAGGCACACACAAGGCGCTGGGTTTGATCCTCAGCACCACATAAGTAAGTGTGTGTGTATATATGTATGTTTATATATATATATTTTAAAAGCTGTCGAAGGACATCTATCTATAATATAACATCACTTATATCAAAATGTAAAGCAGGATATGTATTATAAGTGGACATATACATACTGTACGGAACCATGCATGGAAATGACAAATGGCACATTCCTGGCAATGTCATCTCTAAGGGGGGCAAGGGAATAAGATCAGAGAGGGCTACAAGAGGGCTTCAGCTCTATTCAATTAAATAAGTTGAAGCAAAGTTAGCAAAATATTCATATTCTATTGATCAGGCTAGTAAGTGTATGGAGCTTATTATGTTATTTGCCACATTTTCAGTACATTTGGGATATTTCACCATAGAAAGAAGCAGTTTTCCCAGCCCACAGAAGCAGAAACAGGCAATTTCCTAGAGAAGACAATAGCTGTTTTAGAAATACCCCGGGGTGGGGTGGGGTGGGGGCAGGGGAGATGAAGAGGGATGATGAGGTAGGTAGGCAGAGGTGGTTAAAGGAATAAAAGGGCTGGGTAGAAAAGAAGTTTTTCTTCGACTCTGAAACCAAGAAGATACTTTGCCCCAAAGAATTAAAGAATTCAACTACATAAGATGTGGACAGGTTATAAGTGATTCATTATTAATCCAGAAATCATTATCCCAAAACAGCATCAGGTTGAAAATACTTACTACAACCCCACTCTTGGTGGTGGTTTCTCTGAATGTGAAGTTGCAAATCGCCCAGGCTAAATAATATGTGGACATGAGAGGTGTCTGTGAAAAGTGATCCGTTACCCATCCATCTTCCTCAAACACGGAAGTTTCCACTGGCATATTGGATAGAGATAAATAGGTTGCTTGATGCTTAATGCTGATTTTGAAAGTGGCCTTGTAGATTGGCTCATCAAAACATGGAAATGCCTTTCTGGCATGTGTTGGTGAAAACTGAGTAACACCAAGGAACCTGAAAAAAAGAAAATGACATTTCAATTACATTTGTGGCTTAAGTTATGTCCACATTACATTCTTTTGCTGATACTATATTTTGCCAAATTGGAAAATACTTCTTTTTCTAATCCAAGAAATAGCATAAAAGCAAAATTCACATATACTATATTTCCCCAACAGTGAAAGTTCTTCAGGGACGTTTTTGTCTCAATTAAAGTAAATTCTCTAAATCCAGAGCAGTACATTTTAAATGAAATGTGTACACTTTATAAAAAACAATTCGTTGACATCATCTTGGCTAATATTGGGACATAATGACTCTGCCTTTTGGTGGGTTTTACCTTCCTCCCTGAAGCCTGGGACATAAAAGGTATAAGGAAACTCAAATCAAAAAGTTGTCCTCCAATATATATGGAACATAGATCTTCACCAGGAAATATCTGTACCCTCAAATTTCAACAAGACATAGCCTGGTTTTGTTAAGAAAAAGGGCTTTGAAATGTGTTCAATCTTGATTTGAATTCTGGCTCCCTGAGTTCCTTAGCTATATCAGCTTGTGCAATTTCTAAACTTTAAGCAATTGTTCTTGCTTAAAAAGAAAATAAGCAGGTCTAACTGAAAAAGTATTGTAAAGCTCAGAGGGGGAGAAAAATGGGATAAACCACCTATCATTGTGGACAGGATGTAACAAGCAGGTGGTAACCAGAAGTCACTGATGCACAGTATTCAACCTCTCTTAGTAATAGACGCTGATACTGAATAGTCCAGAGATCATTGATTTTCACCACAGCAGTCTCCCTTATCTGTGGTCTCACTTCTGCAGTTTCAGCTACACATGGTTAACTGTAGTCAAAAAATATTGCCATAGTACAATAAGAAATTATTTGAAAGAGCAAGAAAGGCCACTTTTTTCAAAATATATTATTTTAATTGTTCTATTTTATTACTAGTTTTTGTTGATCTCTTACTATGTCTGCTTTATAAATTAAATTTAATCATAGGTATCTACATTTAGGAAAAAATAGTATATATAGAATTCAGGACTATTAATGATTTCAGACATCTACTGAGGGTCTTGGAAGGTATCCTCCATGGATAAGGGGGACTACTGTACTGATAATATATATCATATTAATACATGTTAAAGTAAATACATAATTTCAAAGTGTGTACATGTATAAATTAATGCATCAATTTTGAGATCAAGCTATATCTCATTAAAACTCTTAAGTAAAAAAAGCCTCTATAGCCTTTCACAGTTTATAGTTAAAAATGAAGACACCCAACTTGGTTACTTTGAGAACAATGCTCTTCTAAATAAGAAAACATTCACGGCAGAAGATAATTCAACTTTTTAAATAATACTAGTTATAAAACTTGAAAGCAATTCCATATCAGACCCTTCATAAAACATGACTGAGTACTATAGCAATTTCTTTAAAAGGCTCTTCACTCCTTAAATAGTTAACTACTACTCCCCTCTCCACCATCCAGGGTATACATGGCCAATCTAACATGGTAAACTTTCCATTAAACCCAAAACTTGTCCTCAAAATTATTCTCAGCACGTAACTTCAGAAGTGTCATCAGTCAATACAGGTTGACTATGTTCTGGATCTAACTGGCTATCCCTGGTTCAAACCATGAGGTGTAGATATTTACACCATTTTTAAATTGTCAAGAGCCTACTATTTAAAGCTTAATTTTAAAATAGAAAAAAAAGAAAACATCTTAAAGATAACTTGTACACTTATCGAGAGTCATCCTAGAAATAGCACTGGGCGCTATATACCAGCCCTTGTTAAGTCACTTAACTACCTGAGCTTGATTTTAACTAGTAGAAAGAAAATAGTTTCTAAGCCTTCCTCACAAAACTGTCAAAATGATAAAATGAGATAATATATGGGAAAGAAGTTTTAACTATAAATCTTTACACAAATATAAGATTAAAGATGAATGCAAGTTAAAAACAAATTGTCCCGTTCTTGTAAAATTTCTTAAAAAAATAACTAGATCCAGAAGGTTAAGTGATTTGTCCAAAGACATAGAGGCAATTAGCACAAACTTGAATCTAGAACTTGCATGTTCTGTGTCTAATGAAAAGCTAATTACATTTCAAAAACAGTGAAATTAACTCTTAGCCATAATTTATAAATGATTTAATTCAACTGTAGGTAACAAAGGATCTTCTTTCCACATTTGCCAGAATCACAGTAATATTTTTTTCCAATTATTTTCTGCTGATAGTGATACCACTTTTGCTTAATGAAATGTCAGTACCTTTTAGTTAAAAAGCACCCATTTGCAATTGTGTCTTCCTGTGCTTTTATCTTACAGAACACTTGTGAATCTTATCTTTCAACATATTAATTAAAACATCTACTGATCTTGGTATTTCTCTCCTGGGGCTATTTAAAAAATACCCATGGAATTTTGTATATGAGGAAAAGGGTTCCCTTTTAACAGTCAAGTATCCGAGAACTCCAATTCCAACTGCTGAACAATTAGATATTGTCTGCTAGGTGTGAGTTTTTTACTACGCTAGTTACTTGATGGAATTTTTTTAAAGATCCAACCATCTCTGTCCTTAAAGTCCTCACAATCTAACTGAAAAAAAAACCTGAGTCTCTGTGTATACATAAATACATGAAAAGTCAACTAATAATATTAGGAAAGAGTTCTTTAAGAGTTCAACAGAGAGGTTATAATTAGAATATGTTAGACTTTAAGTAAAAATCAAAGATTTGACAGTAAGTAATTAATGGGTAGGAATTTATTAGATGTAGAAGATCTAAATACCTCTAGGCTAATGAGAAATTAATAAACCAAATATTTATGCAGAGGAAACATCATGCAGTCTCTTTTTGCCTTACTTACTAAGTAAATATGTTAGGGAAGGTAGCAATTTAAATCACTGATCCTCGGGGTTGAAAAGAACTATCAAGATCATCTAGTGACATTTTCTGCAATTAATATTCTTAATGAATTCATACACACACAGTATATATCTATGCACAGAGGGCTACCATATATTCTGATAATGTCTAAATGAGGAAATACCAATTTCACAGTCTGGCACCTGAGGACGATTGCAATTGAATTTCAATTCAGTATTTAGAAAAAATCAAAAGGAGTCCCTTGGTAAATAAAAGCAGTTGGACTAGATTACATTTTAAAGTCTTTTCCAAGCTCAAGATTTTATAGCTAGACAAAAATGAGAACTAAAATATTCCCTAAATTTGATGAGGTTCTTTTAAAATGTGAAATTACACTACTGATAAATAGATTTGTACTGCAAGTTCTATAATGCATTTGCTTCTCGTTCATTTCTGAGTATTCAATACTGGAGAGAAAAGGTCAATTTACATGCTTCCTTCCTGCAAGAAGTTTATACTCTAATAAAGTAAATTAAGCCTACACTTAAACAGGTATTATACTAAAAGTCATGAAAAAGAAGGAAAATGCATGAACAAATTACATTCTCCTTAGGCAGGGTTCCTGTACCTTTGCACTACTGACATCTTAGGCTGGATAATCATGTGCTGATTGGGTGGAGGGGCAGACAGGATGTTGTCCTGTGCACTGTAGAATGCTTAGCAGTATCCCTGGGCTCTGCCACTAGATGCCGGTAGCATCCCCTCTCTACAGTTCAGATGACCAAAACTATGTATAGACACTGCAAATGTCTGCTGGGGGTAAAACTGCCCCACTTTAGAACCACTGGCCCAAAGAACTCAAAGAGGGGCCTATAAAGAAGGAAGGGTAAGAATTGGTCTTGAAACTTGGGTAGAAGTTTAAAGGTCAGAATGGATAGAGAAATGAGGGGGTCAGCGGTAGGTAGCACAGAAATAAACCTTTCCCCCCCCCCCTGTGGTACTATAAATGGAACCTAGGAACGGCATACTATTACTGAGCTACAATCCCAGTCCTATTTTATTTAATTAATTATTTATTTATTTATTTTTGAGCCAGGGTCTCCCTAAATTGCCCAGGTGGGTCTCAAACTTACAATCCTGCCTCAACCTCCCAAACTGCTAGGATTACAGACATGTACCATAATGCCTGGCTTAGCAATAAATCTTTAAAATAGCTTTGATACACATATTAACTTAGTTCTCTGGCAGCTGTCTTGCAGATTCTGGTTATTTCAGATCTCAGTATCCATCTCTAACACCTCTCTCACCCTGATACACTCCTTTTTAACAAAGAGAGCCAGTTTCAAGCCAGTGCCCTCAACAGGTGACAGTGCCTGTATGATTTCAAAAATATAATTTCATCTCTACTGCATATATTTTATGATTGCCTTCAACTGGTCGAAGTGAGACTTCTTCAATGAATACTGTCATTAAAAACATCAAAGAGGCCTTTAGAAAAGGTGGTTTAAAAAGAAAATAATGATTTTTGGTGCCTGAGTGAATATGAGGTAAGTTTGAGGTATTAGCAGCACACCAGGTATAAGAAATAAAAAATTAAAAGTTGAAAACATTTTAATCAATAGTATGGGTGTAAAATATATGTATACGTATGTAAATACAACAAAAAGTAAAACAAAGCAGAAGATAATGGGGACAAGTATTTTGTTGTCTGCTTTTCTATTGCTTTCTTAACCAAAACTGTTTTTTTTATCTTTGTATATATCCTGTTATTACAATAAAAAAAATACCTCTTCCAAAAGTGACACTTTGGAAATATCACTCCAAGATGTCACTTTAGCATAACTAAGAAAATGTGAATAACATAGATGTCTTGTAATTCTTTTCTATCTAAAATAAATTACCTGATTTCCTTAACAACTTGTCTATTTGACATTTTGGTTGATCTAAGGAGGGCTTGAAGCGCTGTGCTGCCTCTGAAGGATATAGAGAATTGATTTCTTCTTATTTCTGCGGAAGTTCACTAGGCAAGCTACTTGTGTCAAGTCATTATGATAACATTCAGCAGAAGTAATGCATTAATGTTGGTTGATATTGCCAACAAATTACAGTATGTGATACAAAACAATTTCTGCTCCATTAT